TACAAATTATGTAATTAAGTAGGATGAAATAGAATTAAACTATAAAATTTTAAATAAATTTAATCTATAAAATTAAAATACAATGCAACTTTTCAGTCGCGTAGATTAATTCTTCTATAAAGTAACTAATTTTTTGTTGTCATGGTAACCAGAGGACATTACTCGAAGCTAATAAGTGAACACGCCTCATATTACCTGATTGGAAAATATGTAAAAAAACTAAAAATACTGAAAACAGGATGCTTAGTTTTATTTTTCCTGTTTCATGTTAGCTTTCTTTGAACACACACACTACTTTTATGATTAAAAAAGTAGCATCCTATCCTTTCTTACAAGCAATATTGAAAACAGATTTTTTTTATAAAAAAAAAAAATTACACTAAGTCAGAAAATCAAACAATAAAATGTTAAATTACAATTGTAAAAAATCCGGCGTTTTCTTACGACGGGGGTAAACTCGTAATGATAAATTATTTTAAAACAATTAACATCATAAATAAACATTTTCTAATTTTTTTAAATACATATTAACAACGTTTTGGAAGTATTCCAGTTGAAAAATGTACAGCTGAATGTCCCATTTGGCAGCGTAATTGATACTAATAATTTAGCTTTCCATTCTGTTCGCAAGAGGGCGCAACTGATTAGATTACAGACCTCATGGTCGACGGCTTGATTAATACACGCGCACACCTTACTCAAATTGTCAAGCAGTTTCTGCATCAGATAAATAATTAACTAAACAGATACCGGCGAATATCTTTCAATTTTCCTCAGAGACAACGACAAACCTAGACAGAAAAAGTGTGACGGTGAAGAGACGTTAACAAATGGATAAGTTAAAGCGAGCGTTGAGCGGTGACGACGAAGATGAGGAACAGGGAATTGTTACACAGGTGCGGCGGGTTCTAATTTTTTTGTATTATTTAAAAAAAAATCTTTATGCTTAATATATCCTATTTCTTGTTTTTAATGTCTTCTGACGTTCTCTTTCGTACAAAAACTTGATCCAAACTCTGTATGTTACTCTAATACTCTCCAGTCCACCCACAGAAAATGGCTATGTGCAGATTTTCGTCGTCTATATTCTATTTTTTTGTTTTGTTTCTGTCTTTCTATTTGACAAACGTAATTTTAAAAAAACAGCTCCTTAATTTAATTAGGAAAAGAATATTTGTTTTAAAAATGTTATAGCTTATGTCAGTACAGTTTTGTTTTAGTGTTTTAAATCAATTTTTTTTTTTTTATTCACAGAATAAAAATAAAATTATTTACTTATTTTAATTTTTGGATTATCTTTTTTGGTTGCATTTTAAGAAAAAAAAATATCAATATTCCCCCCCCCACCGGTGAGCTAAACCTTGTATTATTATCATTTTTATTTACTTAATGATTGAAGTTTGTATTTTTCTATATGAATAATTGAACACGCTCACTAAAAATGTACAAAAAAGTAAAACTTAAAAAAACTACTAAATATTTCGTGTGGGTTTTTAGTTTTTACATACTACAATTCTTTTACTACAAAAACAAGTCACGAGTACTTGAGAGAAAAAAAGTAACTTAGTACTAGTATCGTTATTTTCTGGACTTCTAGAAAAACAAAACTGGCAAATATTGAAACAGAAAATAAGATTCTGATTCCTCCACTGTCTTCAAGTGATTGAATTTTTACCGTTTTTAAGTGGTGGCATCGTTCGTTCCACCAAAGATCATTTATTGTATTTTGAAAATCAATTTTTTGTGATATGACTACAACAATTTTAGGTACGAAATAAGTAGGTAAATCAGCTCAGTTTTTTTTTTTTTTTTTTTTTTTCTAATAAAAAAAATGTCGAACGAAAATAAAGTGGGGGGGGGAAACACTTCAAAAATGAATATATGTACATACATTGTATTGACTTATGAGATCATTTGTTTACCAATTTATAAAAAGCGTTGTTATTATTAATTAATTCCTTTGGGTGACTTTGGCACAAGGCCACAATTTTTAATGATTTCTGCAAAATTACATAAACTAACAGTTGTTTGTTTTTAAACTTGCTGTAGCTGAAAAAGTTTTTCATCCAAGCATTTTGCTTTGCCTCAGACAAGTGAATAATAATACTTATTTAATTTTATGAAATTTCTAGAAATTCATTTTTGTAGGAGCTTAAAGTTTTTATTTTTATATAAGCAGAAATCCTTATTTTATGCTCATTTTTTTTTTTTTAATGCAGAACAGGACCCGGATACTGTTTAACTGGAAATCCTGCTCTGAATTGTAAAAAAAAATAAACGAAACAAAAAAAACTATTAGAAAAGCTTTTAATTGATTTTATGAAGATTATGGACTTGTTTATCTCCAGTTCCAGGAATAAGTTTTACAAGAATTTTTTTTTATTAATTACTTTATAAAGTTTTCTTAAAATTCTGTATTTTACCGCTTGAATCGTAAAACATAGAGAATATTTTCCTAATGGGTAGTTAAATACATGGCCCTCACGTTATATTCAAGTAATTTTTACAGATATGTCCCCTGTAGAAAAAAAAAAATCAAACTATCAAGATAGTTGTCAACGCCTCATAAAAACGCCCACATCTGTATTATTAAAAATGTTTCTTTTTCTGCGACTTTTTAACTAAAAGTAATATTTGTTTAAAAATCGAATTAAACTTTTAAAGTTGCAGAAAGTATATTTTATTTTTTGAAATTTTTTTTTTTTTTTTTAAGAATTACGTTCTGTTGAGAGAATTGTATGGCTAAAAAAAGTCAGCAATCTTTTTAGCGATTAAAAAAAAAAAAAACGCATTCCAATCAATTTAAATTTGTTTTTAAATACAACTTGAAATTAAAAACTAATATAAAGACTTCAAACTAGTTTTTTAGTAAACAAAGATTTTACAAATAAAAGTCTTATACATTTGATTTGGATATCGGCAGAACAGTTTTTCTTTTTACTCTTACTTTTTCAGACTTCTTTACTGAGAATTTATTAAACACATTTTGAAAAATGGAAATTTGAGCATCGATATCAATTTTTTAAAAAAATCTTCAAGAGTTTTTTTTTTTTTAAACAGAAAATTCAGCTGTTCAAATTTTGTTCCTCTCACATTTTCACTTCAAAATAAAATTCGCCTTTTCTTTTTATTTATTATAATGCGAATTAAACCTTTTAAAATTTTAACACGCAATGTCATAAAATAGGTTTGAAAATATGAAAACTACAATAACTGTCGTGTCTGAGAACAGACTATAAAAAAATTAAATATCGAAAAATCAAAAAACATTAAAATAAATAAAAAATACTAGAAACAAAAACAACATACCATTTTAATATGATAAAACAACTCTAAATCATTTCTTATTTTGAAGTTTTCAACTAGTTTCTCATTGAATTCCATTTTTCACAATTTAAGACTAAATAAAACTTGTTACTCGAAAAACGTGAAAATGTTTTCTTTTAGTTTTACTTTTAAGCTCTTGATTTTTTTTTTTTTTTTTCTTTTTAGCGAAATTAATTACTTTTTCTCGTTTTTATTTTATTTTTCATTTTTAACAATGTTCAGTAGTTTAAGGAACTAAGTTTACCCTACACGGGGCCCAAGCAAAAAGCCATTCGAGGTAGAGGGTCATTCTTTACTCTTTTTACGCTTATGGTTATATAAACATTTTACAATACACAATTTAACACTGAAGAGTATGTAAAAAAAAAAAAATGTTAAGCGTGCATTTTCATAAAGTGCCAAAAAAATCTTTAAGTTTGAGTATCGTGAAAATTTTGTTACGAACATTTCCCCCCCCCCCGCCACATTTAAATAAAAGGCGCTTTGTATCGTAATGCAAGTCTTAACTTTTCTCTTTACACTTCAGGAAAAATATTTATTCATTATACCAATTGCTTAATTAATGTAAAATCCATTACTGCTGGGACATTGTTTCAATCTATAAAAAAATTTAGGAACTAAATTGTGTTTGAAACTAATTTGGATTTTAAAAATAGTCTCTTAGTCTTTCTCTTAGTTAAAAAATAAAGAATTAAAAACACGGTTACGCTACTAATCTAGCGAGCTGGATTAAAAATACAAAAAAAAAATAATAATTGTACAGAACAAGAAGATTGATCGAAATAATTGTTAGAAAATGAATAGTAAATAAACTAAATTACTAATAAGTAAAAAAAAAAATTAAGGATTTCGTAATCATTTCTCCTGAAAATCATGTTTTGTGGTCCGGCTGGGTAAAATCATAATTATTTTTTTTTTTTTTTTTTTTTAAAGTACAGAAACTGATCTGATCAGACTTTATTTAAAATTCCCATTCGATGTGTTTTACTTTTAAAGAGTCATAAGTTTACGTTTGGAAGTATATTCCGGTAGGGGAACATTAACAAACCTAGAGGAGCCAATTTGCATAACGTTTTTTTTTTCTTTACTTTTAAAAAACTTCGTTTATTTTGAAATTACCTTTTTTCAAAATTCTAAACACGAATTCTTAATATTGATTCTTCAGTTATTGAAACTTAAGTTCTAAATTTTGTCTAAAAATAAAATACTTGTGACTGGAACAACTTGAACAAAGTAAAAAAAAAATCAGCAATTTGACAAAAATTCAGCATTAAATGCTAAATGTTTGTTAATTTCCTATTTTTTGTTGTTGATTTAGCACAATTTTAGAAATTAACTATTTTTCTTCCTAAATATTACAAATTCATAATTCTACTGTTCATATTTATTTCTAATTATAAATATAACTTAAAAATCCCGTTTTTTTTTTTAGTGTTACTGTTTTTTAGTTTAACTTTTTATTAGTGTTACTGTTACTCGATAGCTGCCCTTTGTTTATTTAGTAATCTGAATTACTTTCAAAAGTTCAGTTTCAAAATTCTCAGTTGATTTTTTACTTTTCTCCAGTGGCTGTATTTTATTTTGAGATCCCCTCCCCTCTTAACATTTTTAATTTTAACGTATTTGTTGGAGCATTCTGTTCCGAGGAGAATACTTTTGTTTACTACTGGAATATGGATAAATTCAAAAACATTTTTACAACTAGCCAAGATGATGAGGAATCTGCAACGTCTGTAACTGCTGTAAGTTAGTTTTACTTTTACTTAAACACCGGACTGAAAGTTAAAAAAAAAAAAAAAATAATACAAGTTTTTAAAACAAAACTTGTTGAAGCTTTGGGTCTTGAATTAATTCAGATTTCAGATCTATAAAAAGTGCGCGTTTTACTCGTGAAGTGATGGGAATTCTTTTTTGGAGTTATTGCATCATGATTCAGATTAAAAAAAAATGTTGAAACCGAAACGGTTTTTAAGTGAACGTAGAAAAGTTGCCTATTTTACTTTTAATAAAACAAATTTCTCTTCTTCGCCTGAGATATTATTTTTTTTTTTTTTTTTTTTTCAATCCATTAGAAATATTTGAAAATTTTTTTACTCTAGTTTTCTTTGCTTTGGGAAGAGGAAAAATCGAAAAAAAATAGGGGAAATCAATTCATCAAGTAGATTTGATTTCTAAAATGTCAAATACTTCCTCACTGAAAGAAAAAGTAAACTGAAACTAATGCTGCTAGTTAAGTTTGAAAAATAAAATCTGTTTTACTTTTATTCATAGACTTTACAAGTGCTTATCGTTCTTTTTTCCACCCTCAACGATGTCAGGCCAATCATTTCATGACATGGCAAAGTTTTTTTTAAAACAAAACAAAAAAACAACTAATTTTAAAGTCCACTTTAAAATTCCAAAGTAATGATGAATGAATATTGTGGTTGTTTGAAAATCAGTCATGGAATTTGAGATGTGCAGTTAAAAAAAAAAACCTGAGTGAAAAAAAAAAAAAGTGTTTCGATCTGATCAAAACAGTGACAAACAACTTCTTAGCAACAGGTTTTTAACTTTTTCTCCAAAGATAAATTACTTTTGTGCTGTATTATTCATTAAAAACAACATAAATGGCTAAAAAATAATTTTTTTGCAGTTATTTTCATTTTTCAAATGTGGGTGTTTTGTTTAAGGTGTACGATTTTTTTTGTTATTTTCTTTTTCGCACAAATTTTTATTTAATTACTAGCTCCGGTGGGAATGTAAATTAAATGCCATTAATTAATTAATTTAATCTTTTGTTTCTCCCATCTCTTTTACATTTGAGTAATTTTTTACGCTACCAGCCAATAAAAAAAAAAGTATGTATGTATGTATGTGTGTGTAAAAGTAAAAAAGTAGTAAGTCTTTTGGGCACATTACACATAGTTAAACAAACATTTGTTTAGTGATAATTTAAGAGGATTAAAAATTTATTTCATGTCTATCAAATGCTTTTTCATTTAAAGAGAAAAAATGACTAGGAAAGCGCCAGGCTGCTAACGATAATGATTTTATTTATTTTTTTTTTAAGTAGGTTATATTTACCACGCCCACAAACTAGAAAAATTCAATTTTTTATTATTTTTTATTTTATTAATTTTTTAATCGTCAGGAAATCGTGTCTCTTCTCGACCCCCTCCCCTATATTGCGTCTTTGTAGCATTTTTTTTTTTTTTGTCAGTCCTTGAATCCTTTTTTAGTTACTAGTACTAATTTACTTTAACCGAGAGGAAGTACTCGTGATTTAATATCGCAACTAGTCTTTTCACAATAGATTTTTGCAACACTGTGAAATTATCAACTTCTTCTTTAAGTTCGTCATAGGTGCAAGTATGGCATGGTTGATTAAGTGTAAGTTATTAATGACCTACAATTCCATTTTGACCTGGTCTGCTAAATGACACAATTGCAGATAAAACATTGTGAAAGATAAGAACTGATTATAAAAAAAAAATTAAAAAAATGGTCTCCTACAACGGGGAAAACTAAAGTAATAATCATTTGAATTAAATCCTGAATTTAAAAAAAAATTAAGTTACTGAAATTTTGTAAGACAAGTCAAAACAAATATTAATCAACAAATAGTATGTAAAAGAAAACTATTAAATGAAAAAAAAAATAATTAATGAATGAGTAATTAATTACATGATACTGATGCAACAAAACAAAATACTAATAGTTTGAAAAGCTATGATGTATAATAGCTTTTGTAAAGTCACTCTTTAATCTTTAACAACATATCTTTGTTTGACTGCTCGAATTTCTTTCATAGAATTTGATTGAACAAAGAGGTGTCAAACGAAATGAATATCAAATTTAAACCTGAAACCATGAAGCTTGAAATTGAAAAATTAAAACCAAAAGTGGGTTGCTTATTTTTCTGTGTGAGTATGCTAAACTGTGACCTCAAATAAATGGAATATTTTATCATTTCTATTTAACAAGTCTGTCTTCTTACCCTTTTTAAGTGATCTTTTTTTTTATATTGATAGATCAGAATTTGTATATTAAGCTTTAAAAAAAAAATCAAACTTTAAAATGTAACTGTAGTGTTTTGTTAATTTCCAATTTGGTCTTTTATAAAAAATTTTAATTTTTTTTTCCAGAAAGTGGTAACCACCTCAGCATTTTCATCACATGTTGTGTATAAAATAGTCTAACAAAAATGTTTAAATCGATGAAATTGATTTAATTACAATAATTTCAATAATGCCATTTTATGACACATTCACATCTCTGATAATTCTATCATGAATACCAAATAAAGTAAAAAGAACTTTAAGTGCATCAATTATGACATGAAAAATTAAATCAAAACTTTTTTTTTATCAGTATAACACATTCTTAGAGTGTGAGAGCAAGTGAATTTGATGAATTTTCTAAATTTCTCTCTCTCTCTCCATTTTTTTTCTTGCTGTCATCTTCTCTCCAGCTGTCTAATATTTATAAAAATGTGATTATAACAACCTATTTCTCTCTTGTCAAGTATAAATCTTTATCATTTGTATTACACTACAGTGTATGAACATTGCTAGGTTGACAAATATATTTAGACTCTAAAAGTTTGCTTTTAGATATTTTAAGTTTAATATAGGCTGGCACAAGGTCACATATATTGGGAGCTGGAGATTGTATTACAGTTTTGCAATTATGTCTGTTTTTAAAAAGCAGCATTAAAAATCATTTTATTATGATTATTATTTCACCATCATCTGGTGTTAAACACCAATCTCTGACTGTGTTGAGAATATATGTCTATTTTATCTACAAGTACTCTGCTGATAAACATATTTCACTTTTATACTTAATGGGATCAGGATCATTCCATGGATATAGAGAAAGATATTGCACTATATTCATAATAGACAAATCTTTGCCACATTACCTGAGCATTTTTCTTGCATTTACAGTTTTGCTATGAATTCTTTGTAACAAAAACTTGACATTAGTTCCCTCCAACAACCTGTATTTATTTTCTAGGTAAATTACCATCTTGTAACATCCAGATTTTATGTGAGGACTTTTCTAGCAAAGGTTAATGTGATTTTTCTTTTCTTGAGTAGTCTTTTAAATCCATACAACTGTTGGCATTCAAGCAATCTCTTCAGCTGTAAGCACTTATTTTTATCATGGGATTTCAAGAACATTAGGAATCAGTAACTCCTCAAGAATTTCTAATCATTGTGGGTAGTAACCTTCAACTTGCATTTTCCGTTCAGGTATTTAAACTCTGGATGCTTGATTTGGATAATCTTGATGTCACTAAAAGAGTGATGACTGTCAAATTGTCAGTAGAAAGATAGATGGAGTTCTCTCTATGATGTTACTAATTGTTGTGATGATATAACCCAACTTCCCCATTCACGATAATGGACGGACTGGTTGCCGATTAAGTACGACCACAGCGGACAGTCGTCAAGTCTTCGTTTGTTAATACCTATTGAGGTTAGCATACTCACGACTCTGTCTCTGTATTTGACACACCTACATCCGATTATAAACCTATTATTGAAAACCAACATTCTGGTTACTTTGTTTATTATATCTTGCACGAGATATAACACTAATGATGTTGTGCTCTAAGTAGATGAAGTGTCTTGGTGTCAACTATATAAAGTGGGCCTGGAGGAATGTTGGAGGTGTTAATACTGGGTCTGCTGGTATTCCTCCATGAGAACGAACCTCTGAAATTGATATTGTACTATCCAACTGTGTAGGAGGGGTCAGATATTTACTGTAGTTGTTAATATGTTGTTGGTGGCTCACTGTTTCTATCTTTTGAGTATTGGTTAATGAGTGGAACATGCAGTTGGATCCATCCTGGTGAACAAAAAAGGCTTACAGATTTAATAGTGAGGTAAATTATTAGGTGACTGGAATATTTAGTTCCAAAGGTGACTTGGAGTTAACATGCAAATCTAAGCAAATGCTGTAGGTGGCTTTCAAACTGATTGTTCCAAAAATATTGGTTGCCTCTCCAATCTGACAAGCTAATACACGTATAGAATGGCAACCTGATGTTGTTACAGTAAAACAAAATGAACTTTGCACACTGGTGTGTTAGCACAAGATCATCTAAGCATAACTGACTCATTGGTATGGGTTCTGTTCTGCTTTCATGTGTACTATCAGGTTTGTAAATTGTTCAATAAGTTGCAGGCTCTACTACCACTGGATTGAACTTAGGATGCTTTCAACAACTTATATGATTGGATGGTATACAAGCAGACTTCTAGTGATTTTGGTTTGTTCTCCAATACAGATTAGCATGTTAAAGATCAAAATCACGGACTGAGAACAGTCCGTGATTTTGATCTTTAACATGCCTCGACAGTTACTGGATTAATAATGGCTGGTACTGACTACTTAGTATGTCATTTACTGTTAGTGTGAGAACCTAATGTGTAGGTGATGGGCAAGCTTGGAGCAAAATGTGTATTATTGGGGCCAAGGCCACATTTTATGCTCAGAAATAGTTCTTTGCCATTTCCTCAGCTATCAAGTGTTATCAAGATGTTTTGCAGTATGTGGGAGGTAAGGTAGACTTTGTCTTTGCAACTGGACTCTGTATAGTCTTCAGCAATATCCTACCTTATATAATCAGGTGGTGGGGTACTATAATGATACCATTGTTTCTTCAGAAAATCAAACCTTGGGCATTAACACAGATCAGTGTGAAGAATATCCCATCCAATGCTGCAAATAACACTGCGAGGAAATG